ATGTATTATTCTAATCATAAATAATGTCAATACAAACTGAAATTTTGTTGACAAATGTTGAACTGATTTTCATACACACTATAGTTTTAATAATAATTTCACCTAATAAATATGAAGAAACGACTAAATTCGGACTATATCCATTCCAAAAATTGATACCATGAATCGATAATTTAGGGAAAAAGATTTCAACCATTTAAAGATATAAATTAAGTATTATAAATTACTATTACCACTATGATTATTATTATTATTATTATTGAAAGCATTATGTATAACTAATAAAAGATGCAACGGAATAATTTATTAGGAATTATACTCTATCTAATGGAATCTAACCTTATTGTGATATCCCGGCGAGAATTATGAATGGTAACTTTCGAGAACTATTTATGGACAAATATTATACATATATTTTTAATGTATAAATAATTAGTAGTTAGATTATGTATATCTATACTTCTCTTATTACAAGCTTTATTTCGACCTATAAACTATTATTATAGGATTTACTATTCTTGAGTTATGCCTAGTCTATTAATTATAGTCTCCCATATTCACAGCCACTTTTGGCTAGGTTTTGTACAAATGTTTTTTTCTATTTTATAGTACGATGTGGTCTGTTTGGTTTGTATATGAACCCAGTACGTTTGAAATACATGATTCATAATGCGGAGGCTGAGATTTGTGTTTTGAACTCAAAAGACAGGAAGAAGGACTGTTAAGGATTCTAGACTGCTCATACAGGTTTTATGCGTCATTAGTCCGGTCAATAATCCACTGTTGTCTAATTGGCAGTATCATTACGTTATATATTAATAGATCACGAGGTCATAAGATATAACAATTCTTTACAAACTTGAATGAAGATAAAATAAAGGTGATTATGCCAATGAATGAGTTATGCTGAATGATACAATTAGGTAACAAACTGAAAAAGAATTAAGTCATTCATTTTTATGTGAATTATGTTGCTCTTGATAATGTGGAAGATTTCCTTGTGCAAAATGATAATCGCATTGATGTCAATTCACATTCTGATCAATATAAATAAATTAAGATCAAAAAATGAAGTTAAAGAATATTAAAGTGATATAAAATTAAATAAACAGACAAAAGTTGATAATGATAGAAAGGAACATCACACGTACACGCACACACACACACATCACTCCAGATATTCTCTAATGTGTAAATGTTTTGTTTAGTTGCATAAATTCCAATTTCCTTCCCTGTATTTTTTTTATATAAAAATGATTTGTTTCTACTGAAACTAAGTATTAATGAACCCGATTTCTGTTAAACGGATAAATTCTAAATAGATCAAGTGTTCGATTAATTTTATTTACCATCCCCTAAACAGTTACTTTCACGGTTAACAAATGATTCCTTAACGATACTTCAAACAATTCTGTCGCTATAGTAAACGTTTGTTTTTGTTTTTTAATCTAACGCTTTGAAGATATTGTTTTCGTGTTATTCATAAATATTGTAAAGTAACAAATAATGTTCAGGTAAGCCATTGTTTTTGTTTTGAAATAAAAATGTAGAAAATGCAGTTTAAAAACTTTACTTTTTGACTAAATCATTTACTTAAGGTGTAAAACCCTATTTATAACTATAAGATATATATATATATATATATATATATATATGAGTCTATAGAAGAATAAAAATAAATTATACAATAAACTGATCCAAAATTTCAAATGTAAAATGAATGTTTAGTGATAATCTAGAGGTTATGTGAGAATAGGGGGGGGTGGGAATAATTTATTGGTTAAAAATATGCAAAACTGATGTTAGTTTTACAAAACTAAAGAATAAATAAAAACTGTAGAGGCTATAATAACTATTGTCCTTAATAGTAACTAAGCTATGAGAGGACATTTTCAAAGTTTCAATGAAAAATTGTAAACAGTGGAGTGCAACCATGTCGAGTTTGAAGTAATTACCCACTAAAGACAATAGAAGATGGTTGATTGAGGTTAAACACTAAAATCACTGGATACTGGCTTAGTGGTGTAGAGCTTGAGCGTTTGTGCACAAGACTAGAGGTCTTGAGTTCACTCGTTTGTGACGGAGCCACGGATGTGCACTTCAGAATAATCCTATACTAGGACAAAAGAGCCGTTCACTACGGCTGCACAACTTAAATGGGTTCAGGATTTCAATGAAACTGAATTATATACATAAGAAACTGTTAAAGGATAATAATAACGGATTACAGTTTAAATTGCACATGAAAAGATGAATTTAAATTTTATACAGAAGTGGAAAAAAACAATTAACACTTACTACTTAAGTTATAGAAAAATATATCTTTAGACAAAAGATAAGAGATTGGTCAATTGCAGTGCTAAACATCAATGGGAAGATTCAAGTAAGTAATATCAAGGAAATTTAAACTTCATTCTATTGCACAAGCAAGAGGTTATCAGGACTCAGTAGCTAATTGGGTAACGTGATGCTGTTTCAAGCAAACAGTACTGGGTTCTAGTCCCAGAATGAACATCAACTCTGAAATGCAAGTATACCCAGCTGATGAGTCCCAAATAGGATGAAACGCGCTTCCTGGATTCCACTGCTAGCCAATATCCATCTTTGTTTATATGCAGTGATATACTCTTTTTCTTTTAACGAAATGATATATATATATATATATATATATATATATATATATTAAAAAATTTATATGTATAAATATATAAGCCATATGTTCAGAAAAGGTTTTTTATTAGAAATATAGAGCAAGCCATTTCATTATTTAGATAATGAACATTTTTCAGTATGTTTTTTGTTCAGTTAAAAAATAGTGTACACCTGGAGTGTTATGTGAATTCTCTATAATCTATAACCAGATTGATGGTATACTGAAACGGAAAAGTCTATACTTCAGTACTTTAGAGTACCAGTTACCTTCTAGTATTTTCGGTAATATTAACATCATTACAATCACTTTATGGATTCTTTATGTGAATTGGGAAACGTTTACTCCAAAGTGAAGATAAAAGAGACAAAATTTTAAATACATTTATTTGATTTGTTATGGCTTGAATCTACCCGTTATTGATGTTGTGAACTTCAGTTAATCAGTCTCTTTTGGAATATTTTTTTTATCCAGAATCAATTGTCTCAATACTATCATTAAGCCATAAGATTTAATTATCGTTAAAATAGTGGCAGTATTGAGGTCAAGGAAGTCTGTTTCATAGAGTTCAAAGTGAGACTTCATTTTAGTGTTGATGTTTGTACTTCAATTGTTCAATTTCAGTCCATAAAATCGATAAATGTCAGACTAAAACAAATTTAACTCAAAGTGAAATAAAATTTATCTTCAATTAACAATCCAGTCATATTTGTACTCAAAATTTCAGTGAGTAATGAATCAGACATTAGGGTTCCAGTGTAAATGTCAACACAGGAATTTGAATACATCCAGAAGGCGAGCTTGAAATAGCACGAATGATAAATATTTCAGCTTTCATTAGAACTTACGGTCTACCTGTTTAAAAAACAAAGGACTATATTAGATACTTGTTTTTCTCTCTTAGTAATCATTATTGAACAGATGTCTTTTTAAATCAATAGTCTCAAACATGTTGAAACTGTTAAGCAACCCTTTCAAATATATTTGGAGCAAATACCTTCTGTGTGGCATGAAAACACATCTGAAATATGTTGAGTGGTAGATATTGCAAATATTAAATACCGGAAACTATACACATTTACATAATCATGAATACAAGTTTAATCTTACTTAAAGATGAAATAAATGATGGTAAGGTTAATTCTGTACTTTATTCGACTTTAAATAACACAATTAAATCGCCATCTTAAGTCGCTTTCGAGAAACTATTCTTTAGTTGTCGAGGACTGTTTACAGATAGCGTAGTAATGCCTTCAGATGCTATCTCTATACCTAAATATTTTTCCTGAGAAAGATGGAGAGGAAACTTAAATTGACCAATGATCTATTGTGATTTGCCAATGTTCAAGTCGCTGTGACAAAATCCAAATTTATAAAAAAGTGCATTATACGTAAATATCTCAATTGTACACTTTCTACATTAAGTAACACAACTATCAAATTGTTTTCTCTGAAATATCTATATACAAAGATTCAGTTCAAGAAGTTAATTAATCCTAAAATTAAATAATTTTGTTTAGCAAATTATTTTATCTTAATTCAATGACCTCTTTATGCAACATATAACAAAATGGAAGTATAACTTACATCAGATTCCGTTGCACAATTATTAGTGATTAAATAGCTGAATTCATGAGTCATTTAGAGCTAGACCACCATGGAAAACCTGAAAGCTCTGGACGGGGGTTTCGTCCGATTATGGAACTCTTCAGCAGTGCTCATCTATGACTCCGCCCGCGGGATTCGGATCCAGGACCTGTCGGCATCCAACTGTGATAATATCTAACTTCAACCAACCCCCGAAATTGCGCCGCCGTCCATCATTGTCTTCAACGAGTTACTATCTCACAACAGACTCGGTCGAACTCCACTGGTCACTGCTTCCCAGTAGAACTTCAGGAAATACCTCTTGGAGACAGTGCTTCTAGTGCCTCAAAGATTTCCATAGCAATCTAGCTCTAAATGACTCCACATAACCCCTTTCTAATTAGGAATATTAGTGAGTAATTTTCAATTTTATTCTAATATTGTTCTAAGAATACAGAAACAGTTGATTTAAATTCTGTTATTATCACAGATTAACATCAGTTAAAAGGTGGTAAATGAAAATAAACAGCACTGAATAACTGTTTCTTCCTTATCTGAAATTTCTTAACAGTTTGTACATCCACAATTTATAAATATCAAAACTAGTTAGTACATGGTTTATGGATAAAGTTCTTTCAAAATTTATTATTCAAATATATTACCGGTCTAATAAAATATTTGAAGTACATTCATTTCAATAATATATATTGAACCACTTTTGAATTATTCATTCTGATCTTCTATATAATTCTTTTACAAACAGTAATCAATCCTGATCGTGAAAGCAATTCACCCAGTATCGGTAAGTGAATATTAATTTTTTTTATATTCTGCCTTTGTTAGTTGTTAGTGTTACAAACAAATATTTATTGTACATTAACTTAATTAAGAATTCGGCATATTTATTTGCTAAGTAATATATATTATCCAATAGATTGACAAGTTTGTATTGAGATTATAGAAATATGGGATGTATTCAACTTTATTGTATTAAATAATACTCTAATTGGGCTATCATATTTATCTTTGTAACTGTCAATCATCCTAATAAGGCATATTTTCCCACTTAGTTTTTAAATACCAATATCTAACATGTCGTTCACTGAATCAATTTTTTTGCTTTTGAATAGTTGTCGAATGGAATAAAAGGTTTATGTAATTCACCATCTTACTTACTTACTTACGATTGTTACTCCAAATGGAGCATAAACCGCCGACCAACATTCTCCAACCCACTCTGTTCTGAGCCTTTCTTTCTAGTTCTAATCAATTACTGTTCATTCTTATCATGTCTGTCTCCATTTCTTGACGATGAATTATATATCAAAGTGGGCAGCGAATAGATATTTCGAGGAATAGAATCATACATTGTAAAGAAGATCAATATAATGTATGGTTTAGCTGTACAGTGCTCCAAATTACCTGAAATCAAAACGTTTGAATTAGTGGATTCTCTACAGGACGCTGTGTACATTATTTAACAGAAAACTACTAGGTTTTTCCTGTTTTTTGGTCATCAGATTTTTTTTCGATTTAGAATTGTGACAAAACGTTAATGAAATCTGTCTGAATCTTAACAAATATTCAGCTAAAAAATGTGTCTCGTTCCGCAACCTCAGACTGATAATGAATCAACGTCTTTACGAAACCGGTAGACATTCGTTCAATATATCTCAACAATGTAGACATTGAGGGGATACCTTAGAAACTCACATTTTCTCGACTAAATTAACGTATGACTGAGCGTAAAATATTCTTATGCCAGTGGTAAATAATTACTGGGTCTGTTGTGTTTATGCATGTTACAATTTCAATGCTATTATTGTTAACAAAAGTTTAGGTAATTACAATAAAAATGTACAAAACACTTTCCTTGTAAACACCAACAGCAACTATTTTGACAATAATTACTGAACGATAGTGAACTAGTAAGCAGTCTAATTAGTTATAACATTTCGAAGTCACTTATTCATCAAAGTAAAGCATGATAGCTTATATCATGAACTGACCTCGGGAACCACTGCTTATCTTCAAGGCTCTCGTGAGAAGCCATAACCAGTGGAATTCAGAGAAGATGAGTGTGAAGCAGTTACCCACCAATGACGTTTAAACATGTTTGCACAGTATCGCGATTTGATAGGAATTTACAATATGTACCATTGAATGACTGATCAATGGTTTAAAGATTAGGCGATTATCACATGACCTGAAGGTGTTGACATCGATTCCGTATGAGGTCGTCGATGTGCATTGTTAAGGATTCCAAAAACACAATCGGACATCTTTAAAGTGCTTACTGGTTTTCAATTCTTATCTGGCTAAAGTCATTTCATAGTGTAAACTATGAAACTCAACAATCTCAATAAATCGTTCACACTAAAATATTGTAAATTAACAGTTCTTATATTCCAGATTGTTTTATTTTTAATAATTATCATTCAATTCTAATAATAGACAAGACTCCTGAATGTTATTTATCTGATCCTTTATTTTGATCCAACACCTTATAGTGACGAAAACACAGATTTTACAAGATTGAAAGTTTATAAAGGTCTTTTTAAATTTTATTGTGATTGTTATACAGATGTAGATAAAAATACATTATGATCTCTATATTATTATGTATCCACCACTTATTAGATGTATCTGTGGAAACATTTTATCTATGACGAGACATTTTCTATGTTTTAAAAGAATGAATATAAGATAGGAAAACATAACAATATAAATATATTCTAGATGATTTTATCCTATACATGATTTTTGATAAGCTTTATTTACATTAATCATTCTAATCACTTGTAATAGTTTATTTCTTTTAAATATACAGAATAACTAGTTACTTGTATATTATCCTTAGACATCTACAAATAAACAGTAAGTATTACTTATATCATATGATAGTTAATGTTTAAGAGGACTGAAATTTTGACAGAGTTTCATTTTCTAAGCTGGATGGTATATTTTTGAAGCTTTAATGTTTTTCTGAATAGTAACATCAATACAAACTTCATCAAAATCATCCATCTGAGATAAAAATCTCGGTAATCTTATAAAGCTGTATATATATTTCGTGATTGAAATCCTGAGCCAATCTAAGTTCGACAGTCTACAGAAATCTAAAAGCACTGGACAGCTGTTTCACCCTATCACAGGACTCCTTATCAGTGAACATTTCCGACCTCACATATGAGAATCAAACTTAGGAACTTTGGTCTCGCGAATCAATGCTTAATCTCTAGACTAATTAATTATTTATCCTATATTCAATCAAACTAGTGTTTTTGAAACCAAAGTCGACACAGAAGAAGTATGTTAACAAACATATTGCTGTAAAAACAAAATTAACTATTTTTGAGAAAATGGATTTGTTGAAATTATGAAATTTGACGTTTATTATAATTATGAATGTTAAGTGTTTTCTTCATACGGAGTTTGTACAACTCTTATATTCAGGTAATTTATATGTTCCTTCATGACCAACTTTGAGAAGAATCCCTAATGTCCATAAGAGAAAACATGACTGGGTGAATACAACCATTTTTTTTTTGTATAGCGCAGTTAATAATAAATCTTAGTTGTGTGATTTCGTGTACTGAATAAGATTTTCAAGGTATATATATCAAAAGCTCAAAATGTTAGCAAACTAATACCAATTTAATAGTCCAAATAAGGAATACATTCACTCTGTTGTTGATGGTTTAATAAACGACCATCACTGCGACATACAATGCCATATTTTTAGTGAACCATAATTTTTGATAATAGCGTAGTGAACGAAAACACAAGTGGCGACAATCAAATGCAATCGAACACACAAAATTACAGAACATATCAGTAAAATATGAGAACCATACAGTAAATTCTTCATTTGAAAAATGTCAATCAATTGTCTCGAACTTAACTGTTCATTTAGCAAATATCAGTCACTCGTCTCAGACTTCACTGTTCAGTCATTTTCACAACAATGATTTACTGTTCTCGTTCCTTTTTAACCTTCTTCCTCCAGGAGTTTCACTGTCGGTTGATGATACATACTACTTATGTCTATCGACATCAGTAGCACACACTACAGTAGTCAGAGTTAGTATGTTAAGTAATCATTATAATTTATTGAAAATTATAGTCGCAGCAAATAGTATCATCACTTGGAACAAAATTACGAAATAATCTTTCGACATGACTGGAACTTTTCATGAACTATTTTACATTTTTTCTTATCTCATAAATCAATTTTATTTAAAGAAAATAATAAATATAACTTTATAAAATATATGTCAGTGTGTGTTGGGAGCTACTGATGTCGATAGATATAAAAAGTATGTATTATCAATTGAAAATGAAATACCTGGCAACAGAAGATTAAGATGATCAAAGAAAAGAGAACAAGAACAATAAATCATTGCTGTGGAAATGAAGAAACAGTGATATCTGAGACGATTGATTGAAATTTGCAGAAGGAACAGTCAAGTATGAGATAATTGATTAGCATTTAGCAAATTATATATTTACTGTATAGTATCCAGATATTCTGTAATTTTTTTTATTCAAATACATTCTATTGTCGCCACATGTGTTCTAGTTCACTAGAAGTGTAATAATATTGAACTTTCTGTGAAAGTATTTGTACTTTCAATATGTTAAGTATTTTTTTGTTCGCCGAAAAATTCCCATCATATTAAAACACAATTGTTGGTAAAAATGCGCTTATTACATGAACTTAACAAAATAAAACATATTCATAGTTATAAATCTCCACTGTTATCACAATTGTTAGTTGACTAAAATAAACAAATAAATGTAATCAACAAATGGAAAATGAGTAAACACATTATTACTATATTATAAGATAGCTTGTTTGTAATTGAATGCAATAAAATTAACAAGGTAGATCCTTAGAAACACTACGATGTGATCATTCTTTTAGAAATATTTCATTCAACATAGTTTTTCATCCCCATGATAGCCATTAGGTTATTCGCTTCATAATAGATTGTACATTAAGTATTAATCACTGTCATGTTTAAATTTACTTGGTATTTTTTACTTGAATCTACCCATTGATATTTAGGACAGCAATTGATCAGTATATTGTTGGCATATGTACATACTGTGCGTATTGCCTCGATATTGCCTTACTTTACAAGCATTATAAGTAAGAGTGGATAGTGGCTAGCAGAGGAATCCAGTTTGATGCGCGTTTTGTTCTTTTTGAACTCGTCATCAGGATGTCCTTGCATCTCAAAATTGATGTTTACTCTGTCACTCAAACCCAGTACCGTTCGCTTCAAACGCCATCACGTTATCCGCAATACATACAGTATGTACATATGCCAATAAGAGACTGATCAATCGCGGTGCTAAACATCAATAGGAAGATTCAAGTAAGCAATACAAATTGAATTTAAAATTCACTCTATTGCACAAGCAAGTGGCTGTCAGGACTCAGTAGCTTAGTGAATAACGCGATAGCGTTTAAATCCGACATGGAACATCAGTTTCCTGAATTTTATAGGTATAGCCGCCAAATAATAAGAGAGCTAAGTATAGTATTTCTTGTCGACTACCTCCAACTATGAAACAGATTTTCGTTTCACTGTCGTAATGATGAAAACTATTTTAATTGTGTTTTTCTTGAAGAACATTTGTCTTAATTAATATTTTCTATTTGATCTGATAAACATACTACTTTTGATTCCTAATATATCTATTTAATAAAATCAACTAACACTAACTTATCAAATCATTTTTATTAGCTTCAGATATACTGGTTCCGAAGACGAGACGTTTGTCTTTACGATCTAAGCGCAGTTTTGACTGTTCATTTGAATTATGGGATGAAAATTATTTCTCTATGGAACGGAAGGTAAACTTTTTTTCTTTTGAGAAAAATTAATCTGTGTAATATAAACACGCTTAAGAAATATAACAGTCATCATTTGATAGTTTTCATGTTTCTACCTAAAACTGTTTCATGAAATCTATAGCGACAACATGATTGTTTTCTGAATTAAATCAGAATACGTTTTAGTTGCATCTAAGATGTTTCTCTATATCTTTCTTGCCCGATTTTAGCTGTCAGTTATTCGACATGAAACCAGTGCTTTTCGTTAGATACACCTTGACTTCAGTTGAGTAGACACTCCCTCAAAATAAGAGGTTGATGATAATAGGTTGTTATTATTGTCAACAAAATGTACATCAAAATGTCTGTACACAGATCTCAACATCAGTAACTTCAGTGTACTAAATTAACAAAAAGAAAGCCCATAGTCCTTTATTGGTTAGTACCCTTCGAAGAATTGGTGCCTATAATAATCAATGATCTTGTGAATTTGCCCCCGGTGAGGTTTTATGTGGACATTTAGTAAATATGTTTTTCATCTCATGAAATCCGCATATTTATTTCCACTATCAAGTACAGTGAACAACATGCGTTTTTTAGTGTTGTTCAATTTATTAAATTCATCTTTATGATATGCACAGAATCTTAAGAAATAACATCATATTCTTTAAAGTTTCACATTTTAGTTTTCACAATGACAAATAAATTATTGTGGCTGGATGAGTTTGATACATTGACAGTGTATCTCAATGATAACGTTTTAAGGATGATTCCATTTCTCAATGAAGACTACCATTTGGTATATATATATATATATATATATATATATATATATATATATATATATATATATTAGCAACAAAGAAAGGTGACTAATTACCGTCAAACTCCTTCACATAAAGCTTTATAAATCTACATTATTACTATTATCAGCAGTCCATTTCAGTAGTTAAAGTAAACATCTTTAAAAAAATATTATCAGGTATCGTTTTGTCATTAAGCTTTTTAACTATAATGTTACATATTTTAGGTTTCTCAACTTGAAGGTGTTCATTATGCTGCTTTCAATGTAAATAAAGAAAAAAGAGAAAGTTCACTTGAACTAGTCAATTTAATCGAAGATCAACAAGTAACTTGTTTAGATGCAGATAATCCAGATAATTGGGTTGTACGTGTTCATCCAGTTTTACAAAACGTTAGTAGTGTTCACAAACAAATTAAAAAGGATAATACACTTACTGATTCACAAACTATAGATGAAAATGATATCAATGATTTAGTTGAAGTTATTGTATCAAATTCACAAGAATCTCAAAGAACTTGTGAAGAAATTAAAAAGATTGGTCGTGCTAAAGCTGTTTGTTTAACACGAAATTTAAAAAGTGCACAACGTGGCAAAAGAAATCCAAGAGAATCTTTCAGAGAAGATGTTATTAGTTTCTCAAATAAACAACAAGAATCTCGAATGAAACTGAGGTAAAGATTTTTTAAAAATTTTATTTTTGCATTGATATAATCTGTTTATTATAACTTATATCAGAAATGTACAAAATTTTATAGAAATTAACATATGAATAATTAGAGATTATGAAATATGTGTAAGGACGGTCCACGCGTGAACTCGAGGAAGCTCTAAGGAGCTCAGAAAGAGCCGAAGCTATTCCATCCAATCATCTTTTGGTAGAATATTCCAGAATCTCTAAGTGTAGCTTTCCTATCGGAAAAATGCTAAGAACCCCTTGTATGAGGATTAAAGGACTATAACGATAAGTTTTTTTAATAAAAACTATAAATACCTGACATTTTTGTACCATAATCAACACTGTTTGGAATAGCATTCCTTTCACTTATCTTCTGTCTTCGCATTTGGTGGGTTCTATCGTTCGAATCGCTCAAGTTATATGCGGTATACAGTATGAACATTTAATTTGTAAACATGATGTTACGTACCAGCTTTCACTGTATAAACTAGAATAACTAAATGTATTAAGAATTCAACCAATTTCAAAGATCTTAACTAATCTAATAATGTCTCAATGGAGCGCTAATGCAAATTAAATATTTTAATGTTTTACATTATCTCACAGAGAATACTTAATATAACCGGTATATTTTATCAGTGTTTAGACTGTTACAAGCAAGCACTTACTTTGACTTACTTGGTTACACATCTGTTTTTTCACCTTTGTGTTGATAGAAAAAATAGAACTGTGATGTTAAATTTCTGTACAATTTCACAGTAAATTTAATTTGCTTAACTACTTGAAAATATGGATTCTAGTAGTACAATTTTATTATTTCATCTATGAATTTTAATGTGTGAATATCAATATTGGGATATAGCAGGTACAAACGGCTGATGAGTTCGAGATAGAACGAAAAGCATGTCATGGATTTAACATATTGCTACTAATCGGCTTTGCTCTAAAACTTTTTTAACTTAACAGTATTATCTACTCAGTTACCTAAAAGGTTTACATATCCCAAAAACAGACTGACTACCTGTAATCCGTAACATCAGCAACGGGAAATTTTAAATACTTAGCAGAAACGAGTCCATATATATGTTGTGAGATAATAACTCACTGAAGACAATGGTCGACGGCGTGCACAGTTTCGCTGATTGCTTAAAGTTAGACGTTAACACCGTTCGATGAAGATCAGTGGTCTAATGGTTAAGCGTTTGCGCGAAACCGATAGTTCCTGGGTTGGAATCTCGCGAGCGGGATCGTGGATGCGCACTGCTTAGGAGTTCCATACTAGGACGAAACGGCCGTCTAGTGATTACAGATTTTCCATGGTGATCTAGCTTCAATTGACTCATGAAATCAACTATTAAAATACAGTTTTGTCATATCCCAAAAAAGTAGAAAAGTTATATTTTGACATTTTTTGACTTTCTTCAGAGTAAATAAATAACCGAAATAAATTAACACAATTTCAAATATATTTATTATTAATTTCCTACTCAATACTCAATTTTTTTTATAAATATCAAGTTCAACCTTGGTACTGATGCCTACATATATATTACTACTAGTGAAGTAACTACTTCTATGAATCCGGTATTCAGCTTGTGCTAATGAGGTGTAGCAACTTAGACCGATGTGTATATATGCTTGATCTTAACTTTGTAGCTGACTAACTGACTGACTGATACCTATATTTTAATATATGTATGGATGAAAGAAATAGTCTATACACTACTTCATTGTTTTAAGAAATTACGACTTTAAATGGAATATGATGAGCTGACTTTAGAAATTTCTTGATTTTTCATGTTATTTAGTTTCATTCGTTTATTTTAACAACATTTTATCTTGGATACAGTGTCAATCAAATTGTACAGTAAAACTAAATTGTTTCCACTAATATTTGATTTAATGAATGTAAATCATCGTGTATAAACAATAGAAAGATGAAATATACTGGTGTTGTTATTAATGATCAAGTCATAAAACCCATAAAAATACATGTGAATTGACATTAACAGTCATATGGTGTTTAATAATCCTTTCTAGTAAAATGTTAGCTAATGAATTGTGGGTTAGTTCTCGCTAAAAAATGAAAGCTTATAGAATTGACAGGATTTTTGTCCTGATTTGAGGTTGATCATGAGAATACTTCTTTATATAGGAAAAAAGAGAATTCAGCGAAGAAAATTTTGTTTTCGACGAAATCATTTACTTAAGCTGTACATTCGTATATATGGTTATATGGAAAATATATGTCTATAGGAGGTAGTTGGATCAATATTTTAAGCACTGCTGAGGCATTGGCAATCCATGAACTGTAGCCTGAAATTTGCGTACAAAAACGATTTGCCCAACCTCTCATCCTTCCTCGTCCCTCATTCCTTGAGTAGGTGTTTCTGGCTTTTTATTCTGCTTGATTTTCTGAACTTTTGTTTGATTATTATTGAATTTTTTAAATTGCTGTTTTGTATTTTAAACTCTAATCAGTTATTTTTAAGCAAAGATGGATAGTGGCTAGCAGTGGAAACCAGGAAGCGCGTTTCGTCTTATTTGGAACTCTTTGGCTGGATATACTTATATCTCAAAGTTCACGTTTACCCTGATACTTCAACTCAGTACTGTTCGCTTCAAACACCATCGCGTTATCTACTTAGCTACTGAGTTCTGATAGTCACTTGCTTGTTTAGTGGGATGAAGTTGAAATTCGCTTGGTATTGTTTTACTTGTACCTGCACGTATATCCAGATGACGAGTCCCAAATAGAATGAAACGCGCGTCTTGGATTCCACTGCTAGCCACTATCCATCTTTGCTTAGAAATGCTTGTGACTTAAGGCTACATCGAGGCAATCCGCACAGGATGCACATATGCCAACATTTTTTCTATCCTCCTATAGATATATATTTTTTCAGATATATACAAATGTATTTATGCATTAAGGAAATCTTTGTATAACAGATTGAGAAAATTTCATTTAAATTTTGTCCGCTATTGATCTTGGATTTACAATGAAATAGATATAAATGTTTCCAACTAATTTTTTTCAAACACTGATATATTCCTATGAATATTAAGAGTTTAACTTTTTCACATCTCATGAACAGACATCCAGAACTAACTTTTCTATGTATATTAAAGTTATTAGCGTTTTGAATAGATTATTTAATCAATCTTTTACTGGGTGTATATCTATAGATGAAATTTAATGATTGTAGCTGACACTTAAGGTTATAATGTTTTGAACCGACAATACAATATTTTTTTAATAAACAGAATACACCCATTAAGACATTAAATAAAAAAGATTAGTTCAGCGAAGAGTTCTCTTTTCGGCGAATTCATTTTCAAAGCTGTACAATCGCAAATACAGTTACTTATTTTTTACAGGATGATAATAGTATTTGATTAATATTTGAATAAATACATTATAGAAATTACTGAATAAACACTAATCCCACTACAAATAAATAATATATTTGTAATATCCCAATGAGTAGAAAAATTAGATTTCCTGACGTTTTGTGACTTAGTGTAAGTCACTTCTTCAGAGAATAAATAACCAAATTAAAATCAATCCAAGTCTAAATCGTATAACACATCAATGATTGACTCGATAAGTAAATATGGTTCGAGCTCTATGCTTTCAATTAAGGAGATAAATTTTTATTGAAATTAAAACTGAAAACAAATTTCACACCCACTCTGATTTACATTAATTAATAAATAAAATTTAAATATAGTTTAACATTACAATGACATTTATCTCGTTATGATGAAGTTAGATGAGAAATGTGAACTACATGTATAACTAACATTCATGACAATGAAAACATATCTAGAATGACTTAAATAAAAATTGTTTCCATAGTGATGACTTAACATTGATTACCAATGATTATACACATTGAATCAGACTCGATCCATTAACACATTTCAGAAAAACTAATCAATAACTTGCCCGAAACTTTAATGAAACGAAATAGACAACTTGATTACGAAATAGCTGAAGACAATATAGCTTATAGTGTTAACTAAATAAAATTTAGGTCATTAGGACGAACTGATTTAAGACTTGTACAACAACTACAAATCTCACTTGTACATGAAGTATGCATTGATGATATTGTTCAGAACGACAATGAAAGCACCGAAATTTAACTATCTAAATCAGTAAACTCAACAACAAAATATCGGACATTAGGTTACATTTAAATCGTACTTCTGAAATGGTACTATCGTTTTCACGTTCATTCTATAAGGTTTTTCATCATTTCCCATTGAAACTATCATAATTCATCAAAAGTACATGAAATTCTCAATACGATATGGAACATTATTTAGGAACTATTTAGAAATATAATATAAATTCTATTTCCTTACAAGTGATTAACAGTCACTTCATGCTACTGCTGGAAACGAGATAAAATATTCAAAAATAAGACTAATCGTTTGAAATGTCAAATTTTAAATTAGGTCGGAAACTATAGATCTACTATATTGTATATACTTAAGATAATTTAACAGTAAATTGACTGTAAACTGATCACTTGAAAAATTGATTGTTCTAAAAATAAACGACATTTAAAACTAAAATGACTGACAAATTATCACTCGTCTAATATATTCAATTAAATGGAACGCATATGAAGTTCGCTTTTTTCAATGTGTTGACCTATCTGATAATATGAAACTTAGAGGAAAAGGAAAATAGATTACAATATCGTTTTTTTGACACTATTCAACCGATCTACAAATGTTAAAGACTTTGTTTCATGAGGACTTGTATAGCTACATGGTAGATTATATCACGGAATAAAGCCGACTGGAAAACCTATTGACAGTGAAAAATGATAGAATAGTTGTAACAGTATATTTTAAAGCCATAGTCCCAATCAAGAATGAAGGTAGAATTTTGACGTTTACTAATCTACATTCTATAACCTTCATTTATTATGAATATAAATGAAATAGCAGACTGTGTCACCGGAAGATGGCTTTCCAGTACAGAAATACTACACTTCACATAATACATGTTCTAACTGAAACCTAGAGAAATTAATTGATGTTACATGAATGAATGAACTGTGAAAACATATAGACGTTGCCGAAACAATATCTAACTTAAAGTAAAACTATCTGAAATGTACTTACTTACTTAAGCCTGTTACTCCTAATGGAGCATAAGCCGCCGACCAGCATTCTCAAACCCACTCTGTCCTGGGCCTTCTTTTCTAGTTCCATCCAATTCTTGTTCATTCTTCTCATGTCTATCTCCATTTCTCGACGTAATGTGTTCTTTGGTCTTTCTCTCCTCCTTCGACCTTGTGGATTAATATGTGGGGGCTTATCCTGTGACGCAATTCGGTGCTTCCCTCCATGTGTGTCCTATCCACTTCCAGGGCTTTTTCCAGATTTCTTCCTTCACTTGGATCTGATTTGTTCTCTCCCACAATAGGTTGTTGCTAATAGTGTCTGGCCAACGGATTCGGATTATTTTGCGTAGACAACTGTTAATAAACACCTGTATCTTCTGGATGATGGCTTTCGTGGTTTTTCAGGTTTCGGCCCCATACAGTAGAACTGTCTTGACATTTGTATTGAAAATTCTGACTTTGGTGTTGGTTGCTAATTGTTTTGAGTTCCAGATGTTCTTCAATTGTAAATATGCTGCTCTTGCTTTGCCGATCCGTGCCTTCACATCTGCATCAGATCCACCGTGTTCATCGATGACGCTGCCCAAATATGTAAAGGTTTGTTCATCTTCCAAAGCTTCTCCATCAATTGTGATTGGATTAGTGCATGCTGTGTTGTATCGAAGAATCTTGCTTTTCCCTTTGTGTATATTGAGACCTATTGCTGCTGAGGCTGCTGCTGCACTGGTCTTCTCCTGCATCTGTTGTTGCGTTTGCGATAGAAGAGCCAGATCATCTGCGAAGTCTAGATCATCCAACTACATCTTGGATGTCCACTGCATCCCGTGCTTCCCTTCAATCTGAAATGCAATTCAGTATAATTTATTTGAAAGTGTTAAGAAAGATTAGCATTTCTTCCAAACTATTTATTTCAAAATAGGTATTTGATCCAATGGTTTGGTCAACGCAAAATATGCTAAATTTACTGAAGTTTAATAAAGCATGACAAATTAGTCTTAAATAACTATTTAGATTTGCCTAGTCTGTGTCCTTTTCTATATGTATATATATATATATATATATATATATATATATATATATATATATATATTCGTCCAAATACGATCCACAGAAAACATTGATCATTGCACACACTGACACATGGAGACAATAAACCTACTAAGCCAAACATCTTAAAACATTGTCATTAAAATAGGACAATTTAACGACTGACGAATATTAAAAAACACTTATTCTTCAAATTAGACTCTGTAGTACTTCAGATTTCTTGCAAATTGTTTTCTAAACATATTAAATTAGATGGTTGAGAAAGCATATGATTTATGGTTTTATATAAATATTTGTTTAATGCTACAGTGCCTGTTACAGGAACATTATTAAACCGCATAAATGTACCTCCTCAGACAGTAACTGCTTTGTGAAAAATTTGCCATCACCCTACTTTTGCTATCATGTTGTTAAGTCAAATTTTTTTAAGCATGGTATTTCAGTTTGCAAACTGTGCTAAGATTTAATAAACGATCCAAGTTATGATACTTGTTTTTAGAAAATACTTTACTTTTATCCATAAAACTTGTTGGACCCTTTTTGTTGGTATTAAGTATGGCATTTATTTATTTTTTTGTTGTGATATGTTTAAACGATTATAAACACCAACACTGTGGTACGGGTACATCTTTCTGACGAATCGCAATTAGGACAAAATGCACGTCCTGGATTTAGTTACCAGTCACCATCTGATTCTGTTCAAGATAACCTACTCTTGTTAAGAAATGCCACAAATAAAACAGTGTCTACTTACGTGCATACATTTTACTTCCGACAGTCGTAAATAGAAAATGTATATTATTAATTTTAAAAGATAAAAAAACAGTCTTCATGTCAATTCCTAGTGTCAGTTACTACGTTAATCTCGCACAGCTTTTTCTACCTTTTAAAGAGACCAGTTTATCTATTCTTCTTTAATCACGTTTTGACTTTGACTATTCACTTATCAACCTTGACTGTTTTTATCTTACTCATCATATGTATGTAGCTTATTTATGTAGGGCTATGATTATTGATTAACGCTTGACTAAATAGCGTTGACTCAAATGTCTTCTCCTCCGCGTGTCATTCGGCTTCGCTCTATCTTCTTCGCTTCATTCGCTGGGATTCTCTGATTTTCTGTCCCGATCAACGAGTGTACAAAATACGCGTATTCGAGCATCCATTCTCGTACTTGACTTATTAAATTCTGTTATTCACCAACGCGAGTTAAGTCGATAGTTTTTTACAAGGATTGACAATATGTATGTTATCAATAACAATCGAGAAACTCCACAATTCTCTAATATAGCAATAATAATTATGATCTCACTAGTGACTAATTTCAAGCGGTAATCCTCAGAGTGTCACTAATAATCCATGATTAGTAGAGTTTAAAAATGTCAAAAGTGAAGTAACTACTAACCAATGACATTGAAAAGTGGTTGTTCAATATAGAGAAAGGACTAAAATTAACAATTTGAGTTACTGGATGATGGATTAGTGGTCTAAGGATTCAGCGCGGGCTGTGAAATAGAATGTATATGATTTCTTTCTTGAGTGGGTTTGTGAATGTTGGCACTAAGACAAAGCAGATATCCAATGCTTCTTGGATTTTATTAGCCATCTAAGTCCAGTGCATGACGTAAAGTATAAAATTCAACAATTTTCACAAACACTCTATGTGGTAATGATGTTAACGCTATACATAAACCTTCTCTTTACGAATTGAATTGAAGATAACTCTTTTCTTTAAATTTTCCTTCAGAAAAAGAAATTGTCATGTATATTTAACAATTTAATACATATAAGCCTTTGAAAATATAGGATCAGACAGTTGTACGGTCTAGCCAAGTCAAATGGATGATCAGCTCATGAAATCCAACTCAGTTTCTTAAAATGTGCTGTCATTTATCTTAGTCATACGATTATTGTGATGTAATGTTTGGTAGTGAGGTAATGTAAATAATTCAATTCGCAATTGTTATCACTATAGTAACCAATATTACACAATGTTTCAGTATGTATTGCTTCAGTGTAACACATTGTTTTTTGTGAATTCAATATGTTTTTTTATTTGTCTCATTTTAGTTTTAAATGTTGTCAATTAACAAAATACATAAATGTTGAAAGGAGTTTTTTTATACCAATAATGTTTGTCTTCTTACTTGTGTCGAGCTATATTAAGTTTCGGTTACAGACATGGCAAAGTATTCCGTTGTTAAGTTTCCAGGTTATACTACGGTATTTTCCAAAAAAAATAGTAATTTCAGTCATAATAATTAGTATTATAAAAATATTCGAACTGTCTAGAATATATAATTATAGTTTTTACAAAGGATTGGTATTGACTCAAATATCATTCAAAAACCAGAAATGCCTGATTTGCGGTTATTCAAGAGCTTACACTTAACACCTATCAATGATCAAACACATGAAGTTTGTTATTTCAGGTGAGCATATTAATCGGTTGAGTTTGGACCCAATATTGTGGAACCGTTATTCATTGTCTAAAGTGATGTCTCGTTTGCACCTGATATGATTACTTTTATCCAAAATAATGTATTTTATTAAATAAAATTATTGACACGTAGTACACCGTTATATACATTCCATTATAAATGTATTATTATGACTTATCAGATTACTGTCAAGCATCTACAATAAACACTCACATTCAATAGTATGACTCATATTCACCATTCTGAGTGAAGATCAAACTCATCGAATTATTTGATTCAAGTGTACCGAACCAAATATTCTATATGAATTTGTTTGTATTCAAGTTTCTGATAAATAATCGGTTTCTTCCATAAAATGAAATAACTTAAGAGTCATACATTACAGTTGATATTGTTATACGTTTCTTCTATATTAAGTTAATTTATTTGATTTTTGTTTTATTTTGTACTAGGTATACATTAACTGAGCTTTGTGATACGGAACTTGAATATTCCAGAGCACTGAGACAATTGTCTGATATATTAGATTCATTAAATGGCAAAATTATTTTGAATTATTCAGATAATTCAGAGAAAATTCTGGATTATCCTAAACCAATTAGTGATAATATTAAAGGTCTTCAAGATACTCTGAAAAGAATTATTCAATTTTGTGGGTAAGTTCATCATATTATTCATATAATGATAGTCTGTTTAACTTATTTTTATTTTAAATTTGTTATTCATTCATTCTTTTATAATAATAAATAATGGTTATTAACTGAGTAGTAGCTAATTTCATGTTTGTTTGATCCTTTAGGCTGATCGCAACTTATTGATCAGATCCATAATGTTTAATAGTCTATACATCCAGAGTGAGCTAAGTTTAAATGTTAGTTGGTTAGAAGAAATCAACACAATTCCCTGAGTTTTGTTCTGGTGAGCACTCATAGTACTGGATAAATTTAGTAAGAACCAGAATAACTCATTGATATCTTCGTTGACAATGGTAGTAGATGACTTGGGCTCGAATAAATGACGACTGTTTCACGGATCTAAATCCATCTTACTGACAAGTGAAATCAATCATATACGCAAATCTAGAGCAACCGAAAGACCACTTTTATTTAACTTGCATCAGAAGACAATTCATGTGATTGTAAGTCACTTCGACTAATGACTACATTCCAACTCAGTTAATAGAACTTGATCAGTGCTAGGATCTAAACAAACATAGCATTGATCAATTAATGTATCTCACTACTACAGGAGGTCATTTGCATCTCGAATAGACTGATGATAAAAAATCTTATCCTCTGAAAGTTGTTGATTTGCGATACTGTGAAGCAATCAGACTTAAACTAAATGAAATGTGATAGATACTGATGGACGAACGTTATTGATAGAAATTTGGCTTAACTTTCTGAAAAAAACTATCGATAAAAAATCTGGCTCAATTTTCTGAGGGATACTGTTACATATTTATAAATAATTTATGCATATATTTTCAAGTAAGGTCTTTTCAACTAAATCTTGGCTTCCATACTCAATGACCTGATTGAACTCACATAATAGTAAGTTCGTATTACATTATCAAATTCGTACAACTACAGACCAAAAAAAGTTGCACTTTGACTGTTTTAACAAAGTTGGCTTTCCTGTTGAATAAAAATATAAATTAATACAGTTCATAAATACTTTTAGGAATGTTTCAAAGTCACATCAAGTCGTAATGTTTGCCTGTTGAATATAGCTGTATACAATAATCTAATCACATTTTTATTTTCCATACAATTTTTAATTGATGAGTGACAGTAATGTGAAGCTAATTTATTTTACATCAGAGAATAGACATTTTAAATAATCATTTAAAAGTGCGAAACATAAGAACTTTTAAACTTATTACTTTTTAATATGATGTAAATGAATTCACTTGATTAGACATTTGTTACGTAACATATAGCAAAAATATTAGCCAATTTTATTTCGATTGACAAAAATGCCTAATGGGTAATATGGTTTCTATCCTCTTTTTATCATATCCCATTGTTATTTAAAAGTTCATGTTTATTTTTTTATCTTTTTATATGATTCTAGTACATTCTTGGAAAAATTGCCTTTATATTCATCTGATCCAGGAAAATCTGCTGAATGTTTTACGAAAACTGTAAGTTACTTTAAATACAAAGTGTAAATAAACGTTAAGTTTGTACATGAACGGTTGTTAACAGTTGATGGTTGATTGTAAACTAGGAAAAAGAAGAAAACAATGTTTTTTTTAATTGAGAACCTTAAACAGGAATGTAATAAATAACTTTCATTATCACTAGTTTACAATAACATATTATATGTCTAATACAGTCAGTTTTATCAATGGAGCTGAAATGAAATCTTCAGGTTAAAGAGTGACTAGGAAAACAGAAAGGCAATATAAATATATTTACAAATCCATAAAAGAACTAACTTGTTAAAGTTGTTTAGTGAAGCGGAGAGAAAACGATGATGGGTGGATATTAAATAATAAATCAAGATCTGTAAAAGAAACAGTAGTGAAATTTAATCTGCAGAAGAACCAATCGTAGTCAATAGTATGACTTAAATTTTTCTCTAAATTCAATTCACATATATAACAAGCGATTAAAAACATAGAGGAAAACTAATTTTTACATCTGTAGATTAAAAATGATAGTATTACGTGTATCAAATCCTACATTTTGTACCTTTGGATTGTACATAGCAGGTAAATCGATATGTTGCCTGAACTTTAGTTCTAGTTTATCCGTTCATACAGCTATAAAGTCTTTTATACTGTAGCTAATGCTAGTACCTTATTAGAACACTAACCCTAGGGGTAATATGAGGACTCATAAAAATTTATTTCAGTTTTTTCAAGAGTTCTAGAATATGGACAATCTACTTCTATTTGGATGAATGAATACCTTACTTTCTTTCTATTTAAAGGCAGAGTAACCTTTAGAAAACTTTAATAAATTTAATAATAACGTAAAATGGGTTCATACTTTCTGGTTGTATTGTTGTCTTTTTCATATAGTAACCATTTGTCATAATCGATTGATCACTGGGTGGTGATCAATGTCGTATTTGTCAAGTCCTTCTTAGTGTAGACCGAATGCTATCGACCAAGTTGCAATGTAATCACTAGTTTAGGTGACTCAACATTGCGTGCACTGTGTTGAGATTAGATGGGGGCTGGAGGTATTCGACAGGAAACCCTGGACCCAAGTTTTGTGCTACTTGGCATTTATCAGCAACATATATCTGTAATCTGGAGGCAACTGATGCTCCCTGACGGATCTCAGTCCTACAGGAGGTCAGTCGCGGCCCGGATAGCCTAGTGGTAACGTCTCTGATTGTGGAGCTGGGTGAAACGGGATCGAATCCGTCAGGGAGCACCAGTTCCTTCAAGATTAAGCGTACACCTTACTGACGAGTGCTAAGTAGCACGAAACCCGGGTCCAGGGTTTCCTGTCCACTACCTTCAACCACCATCTAAGTAACCATTTGTAAAAGCTGTTTTCTGACTGGCTAAAAACAATATAAGTACTAAGTAAGGAATTCAAATCAAAACATTTCATTCTCGTCTTTTAATTTCAAAAGTATTAGGTATATTTTGAACATAATAAATTTACTATGATCTGACTTTTTATATGGTTAAAAATAAATTTAGATGTATCTAGAATTATGCAACATAGTCTGTTTCTCCAGATATTTCCTTATTATTATCTGTGAAGGACAGAACAACAGTCTTTATTCCACTATTAACTACCATACATCTTTGTTTACAATGATAAGATTTAATATCAATTTCGACAAAACATCTATAAATCTGAAGTTGATGTAAATATTTATTACTATAGTGTAATAAACATTAATATTGTTTATACAAATATCCATCAATATTAAAATGTATAGTTTGAAAAAATTGGATGCCGAGTATAGCGAAGCCCTCAAATGCCCTGGCACGACTGAGGGTCGGGAGAGTCATCTCTCTCACTCTCCAAATGCTCTCACATGACCATGTATATACAACCACTGCCAAGGAAGTCCTACTCCCTAACATCTAGCGGAATTATGGTTGTTCACAAAATTGAAAGGAGGTCCGGTACTTTAACCGAGTTGGTGGATATAGAGTGCTCACCTGGGGAAATTGGAAAACCCTCACTCCAAATCAATGGTTCACATGGGCTCCAGGATCCTGAGGGAACAAATGGAGTATGAACCAATTATTGGTCACCAGCCATCATGGGGCTGCATCTACTGACGTTGCACCACTTTCTTGTGGATTAGACCTTCAGGTCGAAGGCTTCGAGTGTGGACCCATAAGAAAACCACCTGTTTTAGTTTGGGCATCCAGGCGGTATCACAGCCCACAGACAAATCAAGTGACTTGTATGGCTCATATTTATTTAGTGCCCCTTTGTACCAATATTTATGTGTTCAAATAAATAGAATTATTGAATATATTTAATTGTCATCCACCATATTTTTCTTTAATAAGTTTGATTTCGATTCTTACTCTGAAGAAGTTTAGACAAGTTTACTGGACGATATGTTGCAATTGCTGAAATTTTCTCAAATATAATTTTCGGTGAAACTATAATTTATGGACGACATTTGAGTGACTCGAAAATGACCTTGAGGAAGTCTACCTACATACTTCGGCTAAATGCGGATTATAAAGCAGTTTGAAGAAGGAGGATTATGATTTACAGTTAGGAATTAGATTTCCGGTTTTCGTCACGAACTGACATTAACTATAATGCCAAGACTCTATTTAGCCAAAAGGGTGAATGAATTTCGCTCCAGAATCTAAGACCTGTTAAATCTGATTAGTTCGTCACACATAATAATACTTTTTAATTTAAAATGTTCATAACATTATTTTATATTCAACAAAGAATTTATAAACTTCATTAATGAATTATTTTTCTTTCTCAATATATTAAGAACTTAGATAATATAATCTTAAAAACTTGTGTATTTACATTGTTTAGAAAATGTTATTTAACAATTGATATTATGGAAATTTGTAGCTCAAGAGGGTGATTTTGATGGGACTTTGTTCTTTAAGCTGGATGATTTGGTCGTGAAGCTTTCATCATTCTTCTGAATGACATCATCAGTACAAACTCCAGGTAGAAGTGAAGCGTTTGAATTTTTTCACATATACTTCACGGCTTGTCCTGTTGATCTCAATATTGATTGATTCATGTTGACTTTAAATCTGTCATTGTTTACTTCATTGTTTTGTTCATATCTCCCATTAGGAGACAGGAAAAGCTGTGAACTATATATGAAGAAATTCGAATACTTCACTTCTACCTGAAGTTTGTACTGATGATGTCAATCAGAAAAACGATGAAATCTTCACGACCAAACCATCCAACTGAGAAAACAAAACTCCATCTAAACAAAAAGTTATTTAACAGTGTTTTACTTCTGAATTAAACTGTGATGTAATTTCTTATTTCTATACTTAGTCCTTTTTTTCCAAATTACAGTTCGTAAATTATACACATCAATAGTTTAATAAATCTGTGACAGACTTCTTTTTTTCGATAAAACTATCTTGATTAGATACATATAAACAATGATGAAATATAATTGATTGCCATGGTATATATATTTGTGAATATATTGGTTCAATAGAATAAATAAATTCAAGTATGAAGATAAATATAAATTCTTAATATAAATCGTTTAAATGGTTGAGATCATGAGCCAGTTGAAGCTAGACCGCTATGAAAAACCTAGAAGCACTGGACGGCCGTTTCGTCCTATTTTAGGACTCCTCAGCAGTGAGGTATTACAGTTATCTAATCATTAAATATAGTATCAACATGTGCTCACTAGTGATTGGCTTCGAGAGATATTCCTTGGAATTGTAATGAGAAGCAGTGACCAGTGGAGTTCAACCAGGTCTGTTGTGAAATGGTAACTCACTGAAGACAGTGGTGGATGTGTCACTCAATTTCGTGGATTGGTTGAAGTTAGACATTAAAACCGTTCGATGCTGGCTCAGTTTTGTAGTAGTTAAGCGCTCACGCGCGAGACTGATACGTTCTGGGTTTGAATCCCACGAGCAGGATCGTGGACGTGCACTGCTAAGGAGTCTCACAATAGGACGAAATGGTCGTCCAGTGCTTCCAGGTTTTCCATAATGGTCTAGCTTCAACTGACTCATGATTTCAACCAATGAAATTACTATAATATCCACAAAACCACTTCTGATATAAGTCGTTTAGTTAAGATTAATGAATGGGATGGGATCTATAATATTTACTGTATAGACATAAATCTAATATATAAAGTGTTTCATTTGACATTATAAACTAATAAAATGTCTCCTATTAAGACTAAACTTAGATATAAACTATAAAAGATAACGTGAGAAAAGAACCCAAACCATATGAATATAGCAATTTATGTAAAACATGAGTCCTTTAATAAGAAATGAATAAAAATTGGTAGCATTTTATGAACTATAAGGATTAGATTTACCTGTTGTTAATATTTATGATGTGATATATGTTACTGTTACATCTATACACTAGTTAACTGACTTGTATTTAGGACTTAAGACCGAAATCCGACGATCTGTAGTGAAAACACAGAAACTTCTGATAAGGATTTATTTAATCCTAAACATAAATCAAAATAATGTATGAATACACTATTTTATAAATGATTTATTTACAGTCAAACTTAGAGTCCGATTTTTATAGTTCGAAATGATTTATAATTAACATCAATCATTCGATAACTTTCTATGTGAACACATTTACAATGTCATACAAATCCACATCTATAACTAACAAATATAACAGATTGACTAAGTCGTATAATTACTACTTCTCAGGATGTGATTACATGTCATTGACGATTGGAAGAAATTCAGTATTATGTCTTTCGATTTCCAGACAATGAAGTCATTTAATAGTTGAGTTCATGAGTCAATTGGAGCTAGACCACCATGGAAAACCTGGAAGTACTGGATGGCCGTTTCGTTCTACAATGGGATTACTCAGCAGTGCACATCCACGATCCCGCCCCCGTGAGATTCGAACCCAGGACATATCTGTCATGCATGCGAGAGCCTAACTTCCAGACCACTGAGTCGAAGTTAATGTCTAACTTCAACAATTC